ATATCGATTTATAGCCCAGTCCTAGTTGATACCCATTGATACAGATTTAAATCTTCCTTAAAAACTTTTATTTAACTTTGATTTTCGCAGCATTTTTTCCCTATGAATTGCTTATATTCCCTCAACGTTGATTTATTCGCATAAAATCTTGAACAAACATATTTTTTTTTTCAGTTTCAGTTCGCTCTGTTTATTACTAGCATGTTTGTCGGCATGATTGTAAGAGTGTTGCTGCAATATATTTACCTCTTTATCATCTTCGGTGTTATTGTAACTGTTGCATCCGGCATAGCAGGGTGAAAAATAAGTGGTCTTTTTGTCTGGACCACAAATGGGTGTATAAGATTTAGTAGTGCATAAGCAGTCACGGTTGCAGTCATTTTCTAAATTCATTCTGAAACAGTAGAGAAATCAATTAGTATTAAGCATAGTAAATTAAGCTTGTAAAAACCAACTTGCGAACCAAATGTTTATTTAAAGCTATAAAATTAGTGAAATAAGGAGAAAAATATCAGCTTGAACCATTGGGCGTATTTTAATTGTTCTAATAAACGATACTTCCATTTTAAAAAAAAAACACGACTTGAAAATCCTAATATGTGAATACATGAGTTCAAACTTTGCTTTCGCTATAATTCAGTACACAAACTAAAAAAACTAAACACAAAATGTGTCGAAAGGTTCTCGAGAAAATGAATTTTTAAATATACGACTTTTTGAAAATAAATAATTCCGAAACTATTTAATCGAATTCGTACATATCATGCATTTTGTCATTTTAATTTGTTTACCTTAAAGTAATGTCAAAAACTGTACTTGCTACAGTTAAAAAAATCGAATGTTTTTTTTTAACTAAAATATAAATAAAAATATTATTTATTTACTTATTTGGAGTGAATCTTTGGAAAACGAATTTCATAAATGCGAGAGAATGTTTTTGATTTGCTTCAAAAATTCTAGACATATAGCAAAATGCACAAACGTGAAATTAAGATTAAAGGGTCCAACGCCTTTCTTCACCAAACGATTGGGACCCAATTTTTCAGATGGCGAGCACTCCCATATTTTGAGGATCGAAAATCCTGATTCGCTGAAATAAAAGAATTCAGAGAAAGTACATTTTTGTGTCTGATTTCGTAACTTCAAATATCGTCTACGCTAATTAATTAGAATACTTAAGGTTTAGCTTTCGAACTATTAATATTAAATCTCAGTACGTGAAAATTTGGTCCTTAGATCCAAAGTTATTTAGGGTGTTCTTTTTTAGAGTCCATTGAATAAGACTATTCATCTGAAGCTTTTATTAACAATTATTTACTGCTTGTTAAAATAAACAGACACTTGTAAAAAAGTGCCGATTATAATTTCTTCTGCGAAAGTAGATCTACCAGGCCGGGATAGACTTATCGGTAGGGCGTGGGTCCACCTATGTCCGAGACTTCAAGGGTTCGAACACCCGACGGCCGAAGACAGTTACAATATGGTGTATGGTGACTGATGCACGTTAAATCTGTCGAATCGCAAAGTCCTCCATGTTTCCATAAAAAATCAATACCTCTGGGGGTATTGAATTGGAGAACGATCGTTCTCTGATTCAGGTCGAAATTACGATCTGTGGATGAAGAAATGGATGTATGAATGGGTCCGTCCTGTAAATGGGTGTGATGCATCGATGTAGCAAAAGTCGAATTCTTGGCCATAGATAGGCCAATGGAAAACAAGAATAATCTTATCCCTCTGCTTAAACAGGCATACGTCAACAACAAGTAGATTTCCTCCATCGTTGTTAGCTCTGGAAGTATCTTAAACGATTTACTGCTTTTGCCATGCAGCATATCAAGACACAGCAGTATTTTGGCTAAAGAACAGTTAAACTATTAAATACTTTTTCTATTCATAAAACTTTAGATTGCAACAAATAATTGCAAGTTTTTATCAAGAAATGAGTGAATTTAAGCTCTATCCAAACGCTGAGGTTCATTTCATGCCGGCTCTAAATTGCCGTCTACATTAAACTTATCATTTTTACTCACAGCGTACTCGTGAATGAGCTTTCTTGATCTGTCTGTACGGGTTGGCAGTTTATTTGCATTGATATCAGAAGAGCCAAGAGACCAAAGGATTCGGCAAAAAGCAATCCTCCTGTAAGAATTCGTGGACGAGGTTTAAATCTTCTCACCAAGCCACCACCAATGAGAATACCAAACATCATTCCTACGATGCTTATGGGTCCTGTAATAGTTAAAATGACATGCCGTTAACAGAGAAAAGTTTACAAATGACTTAAAAGTTTCAAAGTTCTAAAGTGTTCCATAAAGTATGTATTTTTAGTGTTGGCTCATAAGATTTGCAAGCAAAGCAGCGACTGACAAGGATGAATCAAACATCGCCAATCCCTTAGTTTTGTCTCTTAAAGTCAATTTGGTATTGGTGAATAAGAAGAAAAAAAAGTGGGAGGGGGTGACATTTCGTTCACAACAATCCGGTATTGCCATCCATGTTTATTTAAACTCCCTCCCAAGAGTTATTCATTTAGACATTCAGTAGGATCACTCATTAGTAAAAACAATACAAATAACAAAGTATAAAGTGCTACTCTTATAAAATCAAAAATTCAAAACATCACATTAAAGGCAAAAAAAAAATTTTGGATAGCTTTTTGACATCCTCTACGGCGATCAGAACTTCCTTTTAAAAATTTTAAAGTGGAAATAACTAGAAATTCTTAAGATATTTTTTCTTATTTTTATTAAGATTAAACTCCATTTGAAGTGATTGGAATACTCAATGACATAAATTTAATCTTCAAGTGAATGACTTCCTTAATAGACAGAACTATTACATTTGAAAGAGGGAAATGAAATTCTGACAGCGAGGGAAAGGTAATGGAGAAACAATATTTCCGGAGGATTCGAATAAATGGANAGAAGAGCCAAGAGACCAAAGGATTCGGCAAAAAGCAATCCTCCTGTAAGAATTCGTGGACGAGGTTTAAATCTTCTCACCAAGCCACCACCAATGAGAATACCAAACATCATTCCTACGATGCTTATGGGTCCTGTAATAGTTAAAATGACATGCCGTTAAAAGTGAAAAGTTTACAAATGACTTAAAAGTTTCAAAGTTCTAAAGTGTTCCTTAAAGTATGTATTTTTAGTGTTGCCTCATAAGATTTGCATGCAAAGCAACAACTGACAAGGATGAATCAAACATTGCCAATCCCTTAGTTATGTCTCTGAAAGTCAATTTGGTATTATGGTGAATAAGAAGAAAAAAAAGAGGGAGGGGGTGACATTTCGTTCACAACAATCCGGTATTGCCGTCCATGTTTATGTAATCTCCCTCCCAAGAGTTATTCATTTAGACATTCAATAGGATCATTCATCAGTACAAACAATACAAATAACAAAGTATAAAGTGTTACTCTTATAAAATCAAAAATTCAAAACATCACATTAAAGGCAAAAAAAAATTTTTGGATAGCTTTTTGACATCCTCTACGGCGATCAGAATTTCCTTTTAAAAATTTTAAAGTGGAAATGACTAGAAATTCTTAAGATATTTTTTCTTATTTTTATTAAGATTAAACTCCATTTGAAGTGATTGGAATACTCAATGACATAAATTTAATCTTCAAGTGAATGACTTCCTTAATAGACAGAACTATTACATTTGAAAGAGGGAAATGAAATTCTGACAGCGAGGGAAAGGTAATGGAGAAACAATATTTCCGGAGGATTCGAATAAATGGATTGTCAGCGTGAATGGATAGATTTTAAAGGAATGTCTGGCAGTTATTTCAATTTATACCTATGCAGTGAATTCAGACATTGTAATTCTTTACTCAATTTTTAAGAGACGAGAAATTACATATCTGAACCAATATTTTTTTATGACAAATAGACTATAGGCTTAAAAAGTGATTTTTTTTCTTTCTTTTAACCCCTTCAGGACCGGGCGGGAGGAGAGAAAAAGCTCTTCTGAAGGTTCCGAGTTTATACGCGCTATGCGTAACTAATACGAGATTTTATACGAGAAGACTTAATTGAGATCTCGGCCGTGTGATCTTGGGCCGTTAGAAATTAGAACGGCTCGTTTTATATGTGATATCGCGGGCCTTAAAAAAAGAATCGCGCGATCACGTATCATTGCTCTTATGGGGTTGATGCACCTAGAAAATTTTATGTCACTTTAAAATTATGAACTTAAAATAACGTAAATTGTATATTATGTTTTTGGAAATACATTTGAATAAATTGTGAAGTTCAAGTTGTATTGCATACTCCAAAGTTGAAATAATTTTCTCCTTCTATATCTTAAAATCGTAAACGACGCTACTGTTTCTCGCATTCTACTTCATATTTTGTTTTCATGAGCAAAAACTATATGACTTAAACTTGATACTGTGAATAGAGTGGGAAAATGAACACAGGGTACATTGGACGGAAAAAATGTAAAAATTCGGGTAATTGTGCGAGAATTATTAAAAGTTAAACTTGCAGTGAAAAATAACACGCAGTCTTTTGTCCACAGGAATGTAGCTAATCTGTTAAAATTTGATTTGCTGACAGCGCTAAATTTTTATGAGCCTCAAACATTTTTCTTTACAAGTTCTAATTTTTTAAATGTTACGGCAATTTTAGTGCTATTTTCATGATGCGATTTCTCATCTCTGTCATCTATTTCTAAGTCACATAATTCTCCAGTAATCGAATTATAAAAAAACGTCTTCTTTAAAATTCAAATTCTCGGGAACTATTCTGCTGATTTCGCTCAAATTCTGTATTTGCCATGTAAAATTGCATTCTTTAGAAAGTTATAAGAAACTGTATACCTGACAACTCGAGGGGTAATGCCTGCCGATTCCACGTGGTGACCGCTGGATACCTCTCACTGGGTAACTAAATGGCAGGCAAACAATATGATGAGCACATGTAAAGCTTTTGATACGGCATCATCCGTCGCGCCGGTTAACAAGGAATGCGTTCAGGAATTAGGCAGAGGTTCCTGTTTGAAAAGTTCTCTACCGTCTCCAGTAGCACTTGGTAAGTCCTCAGGTGAGCCCAGTGCCAATATCACTGCTTTGCAGCCTACTTCGAGAGCTGGTGAGGCGTCCAAAATCACTGACCCTTCCTCTGTAGGAGTCTCTGATCCCCAGAGGCACTCGGGGGACAGTGTGTCTGACGCCACTGGAATGTCCCCCAAGAGCTGGAGAAAGAAGTTGAGGGAAATGAGGACCACTGAAGCGAGTGGCGGAGCTAAGAGATCAAGGTCTTCTGATGCAACGCCCTTACCCAATGTGCCAACCCATAAACGAAAGAAGCTCAGAGAGGATGCTGTTCCTGGGAGGAAAGCCCAATCCAGGGAAGTGGTTCCCCCTAGTTGGGATGCCGAGCTGGAGGAAGGGGGATCCAAATGGGGGCCTCCAATCTGGAGTTTCTTTTGCTTGTGCTGTCAAGTCGACCAAGATAGCTATTGTACGGAAGGACTTTACTTCGGACAAGCTTTCTCTGAGAGATTTAAAAAACATCCTTAAGGAGATCTTAGCGCAGACTGACGCCATTCCCGGTGGCAGAAGAATGAATGAGATCTACAGCAACAACCTTCTAAGAGGAGCGTTGGTATTACAGTGTAATGAGTACACGATAGAGTGGATTCGAGGACACTTTAATGACGGATACTTGGACGACCTCATGCTTAAAGTTTTATGCGCTGAGGAGTTACCCCAGCCAGTGAAGTTCGCCTTTAAGACCAGAGAACAATTCTCTGATCAGATCATCTTTTTGTGGAATCGTCAGAGACTAAACCCAGGGTTGAAGTTTATGAGGTGGAGGGTTATGCAGAGTGCTGAGGGACCGGGCACCTCTAGATGGATCTTTGAGGTGGAGCCTGATGACTTGGAAGATGTTGTGAGGGCCAACTTTTGTGCACTCACTGGTGTGGATCATGGTGTCTTCAAGATTATCCACGATCCTAACAAGAAAAAGGCAGCAAAGGCTCCAACAACATCGGATGTCCTCTCTGTCGAACCTGATGACCAGGAGGAAATGGATCAGGAGGATGAAACTTGGAAGGCTAATTCCCATGATTCCAAGGAAAGTTCAATTGGAGCTCTTGATTTTTCAGAACTAGGGTTAAGCTCCGAGTCAGACGTAACCCTACGACCTGACTCACTAACTTCTATGCTTGGTGTCGACGTAGCAATAGAGCTGTTAAGGGAAGATCTATCTTCTAATGTTAACCAAGATAGGTAGGTGCCATTCTGGTTTCACTCATATTGCTAACCAATTGTGGCAACAATCAAGGTTGGTCAGATTAATCTCTATCCATCATTGCTGCCTCTAGCCTTATGGCTAAAAGCTTAAATGATGGAGAACTAGATATTGCTCTTATAAAAGAGCTTTGGACCCGCATGGGTAGAATTATGGGTCTCAACGTTAAAGGTTTCAATATTTTTTATGATACCCGTTGTGACCTTCCCAGGACCTGCATAGTGGCTAGGTCTAATCTAAATGCCCTTAATCTTGTCAACTTTCTTAACAGGGATTTAGTTGCAGTAAAGCTAAAATTTTATGACAATGAGACAATTTCTGACTTTGTCATAGTTTCAGCTTATCTCCCCTATGAGGAGAAGGACCCATTGTCTGATATTACTAGGGCTTTAATTGGCCACGGTAGTTCAAGCTGTAGAATCATCTTCGGCTGTGATGCAAATGCTCACCACACAGTGTGGGGTAGCAGTGATTGTAACCAGCGGGGAGATTTACTTATGGAATCTATCTTATTTTCTAATTTGTATGTCCTTTATAAAGGCAATGAACCTTTGTTACAAGCAACGAAGTCATTGACCTTACTTTATGCTTCTCTATTTCTATAGATTACGTTACTGATTGGAAGGTATCTGCGGCAGTTACTGCTTCAGATCACGAACTAATCACTTTTTCTATTAAAGGTCTCTCAGGACTGAAGGTCATAAGGAAGAACCCCAGAACAGTTGATTGGGGTTCCTTTAGAGAAGTTCTGGAGAGGAGCATGGGGAGCTTCTCTGGTAAGTACAATAATGTAAATGATGTGGAGTGGACTGTTGACCAAGTGCAACAGATCATACTCGATTCATATCATATTTCATGTAATGTTAAGTCTACTAGCTCCCCAAGGCGAGTTCCTTGGTGGTCTTCTGAGCTTAGTAAATTACGTAAGAAATGTAGGAAGCTATTTGACAGAGCAAAGAAATCTGGAGAATGGCAACTCCACCGAAACGCTCTAACTGCCTATCAGAGCTATCAGACGCTCTAACAAAGCTATCAGAGCATCTAAGCGTCGCTCTTGGCAGACTTTCTGTGATGGTATCAACGCTACTTCTGCCACCGCAAAGATTGCAAAAATTCTTACAAAAGACTTTAATTACAATTTAAATGCAATCCGTCTTACAAACGGAAGATACAGTGAATCAGGGGAAGAGGCTCTTAGAGAACTACTTGAAGCTCGCTTTCCTGGATCCAATCCTGTAGAGAATGAACATCTTCATGTCAATCCTACAACTACTGTAGTAAGTATGACTGGGAGGTCGCCAAGATGGTGGTCTCCTATGAAAAGGTTATGTTGGCTATCAAATCGTTTAAGCCCTACAAGTCTCCAGGAATGGATGATATCATACCAATAATGCTTATTCAGGGGGTGAACATACTAGCCCCTATTCTATGTAGGATTTTCCGATCCTGTATAGCATTTGGGTATATACCTTATTCTTGGAGGAATACCAGGGTAATTTTCATACCACAACCCGATAAGGAAAATTACTTTGAGGCTAAATCATTCAGATCAATTAGCCTCCCTTCCTGTCTGTTGAAAGCTATCGAAAAGCTAATTGACAGCTACTTTAGAGACACTGTGCTGATGGATAAGCCACCGTCCTCCACACAGCATGCTTATCTACCAGGCAAGTCAACGGACACTGCTCTATATGAGCTCTCCTTCCTGCTTGAGAAAACTATCTCAGATAGGCAAGTTGCTCTTGCGGTATTTATTGACATTAAAGGTGCGTTTGATGAAGTCCCTGTTGAGACAATCATCAATGCACTTGGAAAGAGAGGCATAAATTCAATAATTGCCAGGTGTATAGCCAATTTGCTATCCTCTAGGCCAAGGTGTATGGTGTCCTATGGTGTATGGTAATGGACTCTTTGTTAGTTAGGTTACCTGATCTTGGCATTCCCTGTATCGGGTATGCTGATGACGGTGTTATTCTTGTCAGAAGCAAGCATGGTAAAGCAGTCTCTGATATCATGAATGATGCACTTCTAGAAGTAGCTAGATGGTGCTCTGACTGTCTGTGAATCTGTCAATCCGTCCAAGATAAGTTATGTAGCCTTAACAAAAAAAAGGCATCTTGATCTAGGTAATGTATACTACCTGAACTATAAATTGGAACTCACGGAGATAGTTAAGTTTCTCGGGGTTTATTTTCACTCCAAACTTAATTGGGGTTATCATCTTGAATACGGTATCAGTAGGGCCACGAAGATTTTTTGGTCCTGCAGAAATGCTATTGGTAGAACCTGGGGATTATCCCCCAAAATAGTTTACTGGATATTCTCAATGATTATTTGTCCTATTATCACATATGACGTAATCGTCTGATGGTCAAAGACTTGATTGAACTCCACAAGGTCTAATCTTGATAGACTATAAGGAATGGTCTGTGTAGCCCGGTCAGGCTGTCTTAGGACCACTCCCACAGCTGCTCTTGAGAGCTTACTTGGGCTTCTTGCATTGAAGTTGAAGCTCAGACAGGCATAAAGCGTCTTATGTACCTTGGCCTATGGAAAGAGTATTCCAAACGCTTGTCATGGGGTTATCTTGTTTCACAAGTGATGGACATACCATTATGCCTCCTTCATCATGCCTAGTGATTATATGCCACTAAGATATGCTTTTCATAACCCTTTCGAGATCCATTTTCCTACAAGAGATGAATCGTTTAATTCTCCTCCGTAGCTTAAAGGCAAATGTCTAATATGGTACACCGATGGTTCAAAGATTGGTCCTAAATCAGGAGCAGGAATTTATTGCTCCAATGATGGTACCAAACTTCACTTTCCCTTAGGAAACTATGCCACTTTTTTCAGGCTGAAGTCTATGCCATTATCTGGTGCTGCACGATATGCTTAGACATGGGATATCAAAATATGATTTTCCGCATCTGTTCTGACAGTCAGGCTGCTCTCCTATCCCTGTCAAAGTGTGAATTCACCTCTTTGCTAGGGTGGAAATGCTTCTCGGTCCTTTGTGACCTATCTACTCATAACTGGGTATCCCTGCATTGGGTACCTGGACATATGGGTATTGGTGGAAATGAGCTAGCTGATGAAGCAGCTCGGGCTGGCTCTAATGCAATTTTCTAGGGGCCTCAACCTGCACTAGGCATTTCTCCCACCTCATTTAGGGCATCCATATTCAAGTTGTACGGCAAAATTGCCCATGAGCAATGGCGCGTTGCTGACGGTCAGGGACAAGGTAAGGAGCTGAATCATGACTGTGTACATCAAAAGGAGATTTTAAGGCTTAATAGAAACAGTTTAAGGAAGATCATTGGTCTTCTTTCCGGACATTGCTTCCTCAGGAGACACCTATATATAAGGGGAATTAAATCCAATTCTCTTTGTCGAGGCTGTCATCTTGAAGAAGAAACATCACGACATATACTTTGTGATTATGAGGTCTATTCTGCTCAAAGATTTGAGCATTTAGGACAGCATTGCGTCAAAACCTGAGAACTGCAAGATGTTCCTGTAAGATGCTTGCTAAATTTTATTTCAGCTATAGGGGTTTCATGCTAATCATGATTTAGGGTTTGGGTACAATAGACCTCTGGTCGATGTTCCCTGCTTCTTGGAGCTGCCCAACCTCTACTCAAAGTCTAAGTCTAATACCGTTACCGTTATTACCGATTTTTTTTTACCGTTATTAAAAAGAAAACGAAATAATAATCAATAGCTACTAAAAGTTATTTTTTGCATGCCTATAAACGATAATCTTTCCATAAACGAATTTTCTTATTCTGTACAAACTTTTTTCGATTCTCAAATAAATTTTCGAGATATGGTGAAATACGCAAAAAGTATAATTAACATTAAAGCGTCTAAAATTTGGCCTGCTCTCCGGAACAAACTATTGGGACAGTATATCCCTGATTGCGACTACCCCTTAAATTGTAGGAACCAGAAATCCTAATAAAGAAAAAAAACGTATGTTTATTCAGAGAAAGTACGTTTTTGTATCTGATTTTGTAACTTGAAATATTGTACTAGTTTTGTAACTTAAAATATTGTCAATCATTAAGATTGAGTCCTAGAACGTGAAGATTTGGTCATCTGATCAAAAGTTATTCCGGATGGTCGAACTATTATTTGCGCATTGAACGTGATATTTTACTGAAGTTGAGAAAATTTAGCTCTAAAATTAATGGATACTTAATCCTGTAAACACGTGGAAACTTCCAGGAAATAAAAAGCTACCTGGTTACGATTGCAGACGACCTTTACAGATTATTCTGATTCATTTAAAATGATTTTTAATAAAACCAAAGTAATTATATAAATTCAGAAATAATTTGACTGCTGTCTAAATTGAGCAAAATACATTTTTATAAAATAGCAACTCATTCATCATATTAAATGATTATTGTTTCTAATATTGGTATTTTGAGATCTGATTAAATACACAAAAAAAGTTTTAGGAATGGTGATATTGAGTAAAATCTTTCCAGAATTCAGTTCACATCCATAAAAATAATATTTGCGGAAGGATATTCGCAAGAAGTTTTCTAAGGAAGCTTATTTTTTTTCACATTTAGGCTAACCATTAATACGTTGCTATTATGTGTTCCTCCGCTTCAATCCTGTTCTAAATGATCAGACCCAATTAAATTCCTTATTTTAAATCTTTTGATCTAATTTAAATTTTAATCTATTGTTTGAGATTTGCACTGTTCAAAAATGCCTAAACTGTCAATTATATTCCTTGATGACGCACTATCTTCAATCCAATAATTTGGAGGGATGGCTGCTGAAATTGTGTTACGTGGGCTAGGATAGAATTTGATTTTGCATTGGCTATGGAATTAAAAAAATCTTTGTTTTATCATGTAATCATTGTTAGTGTAGTGTCCAACCAATAACAACATAGCCTACAGCTTTTGGTGTTCGCCACCTTGATATATATATATATATATATATATATATAACATAAAAA